AATGTAAGTTATTTCCCAGTAGCATTTGATAGGGGAAAACTTGAGTGTCCAGAATAAGGACCATGGATGATCCCAGCCCCATGAGTTGGGTGATGCGCGGCCAAAACCACCTTGGGGATGCTCTAGTGCCAAAAGATGGACCTCAGTGGCACAGGGACAGCAACGTGTTCTCCCTGTGTTACCCATCACTTCCACCCCTACGAGCTTCTCCCTCATCCCACAATCCCACCTATCCCAACGTGCCAAAACCATGTTTAAAACAGCTGGGAAAGCAGGTTTATTGTCAGAAATAATCCAGATTAGGGGGGAAGATCCCTCCCCATCTGCCCAGTGGTGCTGGGCCAGCTCCCAGGGGGGATGAGGGGGACCCGTGCAGCAGGGAGGGCATGAGGACAGGGGGGGTCAGCCCCCTTTGGGGTGTGGGGAGCAGCCTCCCATCCAGCCCCTGCTTGTGCATCCCAGCCTGGTGCTGCCTGGCCTGCCCCTGCCCATCTCTGATCCATGGGGTGATCCCTGTGCTCTGGAGCCAGGCTGAGAGAGCTGGGCTGGGTGAGCCTGGAGAAGAGAAGGCTCCTGAAGGGGAGACCTGAGAGCAGCTCCAGTGCCTGAAGGGGCTGCAGGAAACCCAGAGAGGGGCTTGGGACAAGGGCCTGTAGGGATAAGAATGGGCTTGGAGCAAGCTGCTCTATGGAAGGGGTCCCTGCCCGTGGCAGGGGTTGGAGCTGGAGGAGCTTTAAGGTCCCTTCATCCCAACCCAGCCTGGGATTCTGTGGTCTCCTCCTGCCCAGGTCCCTGTCCTGCCCATCCTTGCACCCTGCTGCTGCACCTCCAGCATTATCCCAGCCTGGCCAATGGAAGCACTCCGGGTGCATAGCAGGGATCCTGTTTAATCCCAATTTCCTTGGCAGGCTGCAGGGGCCACCTCTGAGCTGCAGGAAGGACAAACAGAGCAGGGGCTGTCACAGCCCTGGAGCCCCGACTTCTAAGTGAACCTCGTGAGGTTTGAACCCCATTTCTGTGTGGTTTGTGCCCAAAGCCTTCTGTGACAGCAGGAGCTGGTTCAGTTTGTGCCTCAGTTTCCCCAGTGCTTCAGGATAACGGTTCCCACCTCCTCATCCTAAAGGAATACATGGAAAGCACAGAGGGTTTCTCTCCTCTGCTTCATCCCTGTTCACAGAGGATGGGGATGAAGGAACCTGGTGTGAAGCTTCCTGGGATGAGCGTGCTTGGGGGGGATGAGCTGTTGTTAACACTGTGTGTGCTTGGAAGGGGGAGACTGACTTCCTTCCCTGCCCAAACTCCAGGGCACCGCAGCCCCACGTCAGCAGGGAGCAGGATGATGCTCAGCCCAGGTATCTCCACTTGATAAATCAAGCAGGAATCACCACACGGGGAGCTTTGGCCTCTTCTGCACTGAGACCGTGCTCAGCATCCCGGCACCACGGAGCAGCTTCCACTGAACCTGAGCAAAAACACACCCGGGATGCGCTGGTCCAGCGACACGAGCACCTACATCCCACAGGGATGTGTGCAGGGGGAAGATGGATGGATGGATGCAGGATGCAGGATGCAGGTAGGGTTGCCCAGTCCAACTCCAGCCGCACCCACATCCACCCCCTTGTCTAAATCTCACTGCTTGGCTCCTGCATGGATTCTCTTTGGAAAACAAGGAAAGAAAACCAGATCTGAAAGACCAGGGGCTGCAAAACACCGGTGGCTTTATAAGCATCTCACATGCAAGGCTTTTAAATAGAGAGTTTTGGGGGGTTCCCCTCTTTTTTGGAGACGAGCCACTGCAGAGGGCTCTGAGCATCCTGCACTTGATTCGTAGCCCAGATGCTGTTTCTATCCTGGGTTTCATTTGGCTCAAGGAGCCATCAGGATGATTTTCCTCTTGGGTACCAGCTCACTGGGAGGTTCATATCCCTCTTCCAGAGCCCTCTGTGGGAAGGGACCACATGGAAACATGACAGCAGCTGCCTCTGGGGACCCAAAAGCACCTTTTGAGTCTTGGTTTTGCTAGTCCAGAGGTTCCCTATTCCTGCTTTGTCATCCATGGGGTGTGTGCTGTATGGAATAGCATTTGCATCAGCAAGCCACACAGCTGGTTGCCCACCCAACCACCCTCATGTCACCTTCACAGGGTGGCAGGGCTTTGCCTCCCCAGGGAGGGCTGGTGCATGAACCTCAGTGTACCCAGTGAGGATGGGGACCACGATGTTCCCAATATCCCACTGCGGAAAGGAGGAATATCCTCCTCCCTGGAAACCAAACCCCACCACAACCCTCCCTTCAAGCCCAGGGAAAGCCGGAGCAGCCAGTTGCCCACACCAGCCACCCTCATGCCCAAAGGGATTTGGGGTCTGGATGTGTTTGGCTGCTTTCCTATCTGCCTGGAGGCAATTTCCTTCCCATTATCTATCTCCAGGCACCGGATGCTCTGATTCCTGGTCCAACAAGCACCCATCTGCCTGCAAAAAGAACCCATGGAAGTGTTTAAGGTCAGGTTGGATGGGGCTTGGAGCAAGCTGCTCTAGTGGAAAGTGTCCCTGCCCGTGGCAGGGGCTGGAACTGGATGAGCTTTAGGGTCCCTTCCAACCCAAACCATTCCAGGATTCCATGATTCTATGAAACCCTTCCAGCTGCTTCCCCTCCTCACTGCCAGATGTTAAATCTCAAGGATTTCCCATCATCATCCCCTTGAATTGACGCTGCTCCGGTTGAGTCGCAGCCCGGGACAGCCCTCAATGCCCAGCAGTGTGCACTCCTGGCATGGTGTGCTCTGCCAGATGTGGCTGCCAGATGTGCAAACCCACCCCATTGTCTTTTCCCTTGCTCTGCGGCTTCGTTCTGGCTGCGTGGGGACGGGAAAAGGAAAGAGGAGGTGGGAAAGTGGATGGCGGCGAGAGGCAGGCTGAGATTTCTTCCCCATAAACCTCAATAACTCATTGCATGAGGTGGTGAGGTGGGGATGGAGCCCATAGGATAGGGAGAAAACCTCAGGAGATGGGAGTTTCTGCTGGAGCAGCTCGTCTCTGATGAGCTGAGCCATGAATCGGGACTGAGCTCCGGTGGGGAAGCAGCTCCCAGCTCAGCAGGACCAGCCCAGAGCATCCAGGACACTCATTTTGTCTCCTGGTGCCGTATCCCTGCCTGAGCACAGCCCAAACGCATGGCTCTGCATCAGCTCCCTTTTCCCAGTTTGCCCACCTCGGTACTGGGAGAAAAAGCCAAAGGGGGAAAAGCAAAGGGATAAAATGGAAAGGATCCTGTGCCAGGTCGCATCCTTCCCAAAGCCTCTGGGATGGGGATCATTGTGCTTTCCCCCAGCAGAGCTTTCCACCCTGCAGCTGAACGCACACACACGGAGGCTCAGGGTCCATAAATCCCACAAACCCCTCACTTACAAACCCAACGCACCGGATTCCTGCTGCTCCTTGCATCAGGGATCCCAAAACACCGAGCAAACACGGGGGGCTGGTCCAGCACGGATGTAAGGATGCAGCCTCCAGCCTCACCCCTGCCCAGCTTCCCCTATCATCCTCCCGGCATGGAGGAAGGCAAACATGGATGCATCCAAATGCAACGCTTCACTTTTAAGCCCCCAGATTCAGCATTTTAGGGTGCCACAGTGCAAAAGCTATGGGAAGCTTTCCCATTTTGGGAATGCTGCAGGTCGCAGCCCCGCGCTGCCTCTTGCAGCATCCCTCATCGCTCCGTTCTCGCACGGATTAGGCACCAAACCACCCGGGAGACAAAACCTCCTTTAGGAAACCATTACCTGGATAATTTTCCTGAGCTCCAGCCCCTGTTACGAGGGAAGGATCGGGACTGGCAGAGCCCGAGCTCTGTGCACAAACCTCTCCGCATCCCTGCCCACCAAACCAAGCCAGGAAAAGAAGTTTCCAAGCAGCAGCAAAACTACGGAAGGAGCCCACAGGCACCTTCCTCCAGCATCAGCATCACCTGAGCCGAGGGGATATCGGGAATCATCGCAAGGAGCTCTACAGAAAATAGACCACGGCGTGGATGCAGCTTTAGATATATTTGCTCTAGGATATACAACAGCTTCTAAAGCAACCACGGGCGAGTGGAGGAGGTCGAGAGCTCTGGGCTCGCTTGGTTTAAGTTACAAAGTGCTGACACTGGTCTAGGATACATCTTAGAGAAGGGCTGTCCCCGTGTGCGCTGGGGAACATGCACGCAGCCGGAGGAGTTTCCTACCCAGCTGCATGGTTCTGTGCCTGGGAAGAGCTGGGAATGTCATTGATCAAAATGAAACGGATCAACGGGCTTGGAAGAGGACGTGGGTTCCCAGGGGGAGCAGCAGGATGGAGCGTTTTCCTCTGTCTGAAGCAAAATAAAAGGGGAAAGCATCAGGAAGTTCAGTTTTGCATCTCTCAAATAGAAATCTAATAGGAAAGAGAGCTGTACATGGTCAAAGTCAAGTCCAGGCTCCAGGAACATCCAGGAGGACAGTCTCAGGTATGGCCCGCTGCTTCCCGGGATGCGCCAAGCAAACACTCACTGTGGATCCCGCAGTCCAACGGAGAAACCATGGGAAGCTGCTCCTAATCCTCCCGGGAGCATCGGGGCTGCGTGTGCTGGTATCCCATGGGGGGGATCAGGATGTGCTTCCCCCTGCCCACGGGCACTGGGATGGGGTGAATGGATCCAGTTCTGCTTCTGGAATCAGTGCGACAGGGTTGACTGGGGCATGGGTAGGGAGAGCTGGTCCAGAGCCCTCCAGGGAGGGTGCACCCCACTCTGATGCACCCCAGCACTCATCCCCGAGGCCGGCTCATCCTCAGACACTAGTTTTCACTGGTGCCATGGCAAGGCGATGGGAATGGGGATGGAGAAGGGGATGGGGTGGGAATGGGCATGAGAATGGGGATGGGCATGGGGATGGGGTGGGAATGGGCATGAGAATGGGGATGGGCATGAGGATGGGGATGGGGATGGAGAAGGGGATGGGGTGGGGATGGGCGTAAGGTTGGGGATGAGGATGGGGATGGGGATGAGGATGGGGATGAGAACGGGGTAGGGGATGAGGATGGGGATGGGGATGAGGATGGGGATGGGAACGGGGAAGGGAATGAGGATGGGGATGAGGCAAGGAGGATGCCAGGAGCAGAGGTGTCGAGGTACGGCATGGTGGTTGGATGCCGGAGCAGGGACGGTGGGATACTGAGGATGCCATCAGAGGCCGGGGGTACCGATGGTGCTGGCACAGCGTGGATCAGCGTCCTGCTCGTAGCGGTAGTGGTACCCCTCCATCTGGTCACGACAAGCCTCGCGGAGGTTATGGAGCCAACGCTTGATGCCCCGGCGGTTCAGGTAGAGCACCATGAGGAACACGATGCCGATGAGGGCCAGGACGATGCCGAAGAAGACGTACGAGGCCGTTTCCAGCCTGCCGGGCTCACCGCCCTCAGCATCCGCACACACGAGCCCCTCGGGCCGCAGGCGCAGCAGGACGGCCCCGCGCAGCGCCGGTGGCGCGGCACAGCGCAGGCTGCGGGCATCGGGAACGCGGGCACCGGCGGCGGAGCGCAGCCAGGCCAGGAAGGGGCGCAGGGCACAGTCGCAGCTCAATGGGTTGGCTCCCAAGGTGAGCCTCAAGCCCCTCAAGCCCGGAGCATCCAGGCTCCGCAGCTCGGCGGCCACCAGCCGCTGCAGGGAGTTGTTGCGCAGGTCCAGCTCCTCCAAGCCGGGGGTTAAGAGGGAGGCCGGCAGCGCCCGCAGCGCGTTGCCCGCCAGCTCCAGGCGCCGCAGGCTGAGGTTGCCCACGGCCAGGGCGAGCTGGTCCTCCAACGGGGCGGCCAAGAGCGCTTGGTTGAGCTGCAGCGTGCGCAGCAGGGGCACGCCGGCGAAGGCACCGGCGGCCACCGAGAGCAGGGGGTTGTGGCTCAGGTCGAGGGTGCGCAGCGCGGGCAGCCCCTGCAGGGCCATGTCCTCGATGCTGTGGATGTTGTCGTGGCGCAGGCGGAGCAGGCGGAGGTCCGGCAGCGGGCGGGCGGCGAAGGCGGCGCGGGGCAGGACGCTCAGGTTGCTGCCGGCGATGCTGAGGTTGTGCACGGTGACCGGCAGCTCCTTCGGCGGCTCCTCCAGCCTCTCGTACCGGCACTGCACCTGCTCCGGGGTGGCCACGCAGTAACAGGCGGACGGGCAGCCCCCGGGGGCGGCGGCGGGGGGCACGGCCAGCGGCAGGAGCGCGAAGCCCAGCCAGGGCAGCCAGCGCCCGCTGCCCGCTGCCCGCTCCTGCCTGCGGGCCATGCTCGCTGCCCGGGCATGCAGGGGAAGGGGGGGGCCGGGGGGTGCCGTGGGGGGGTGCAGGGGGTGATGGAGGGTGGGGGCGGCCGGACCCTGCCTCCCTGCACACACACCCCCCCCCCGGGCTCAGCTGCCTCCGGCGCCGCGCACGCACCCGGCGGCTCTGCCGGCACCACCGGAACGCGCCGCTGCCCAAATCGGGCTTGGGGGGGGGGGGGGGGAACGAGGGGAGGAGGAGGAGGATGGGGAGGAGGAGGAGGAAGGGGCTGGGTTGGGCTGCCTGGCGCTGCGGGCTGGGCGGGGGAGAGCCGCGGGCGGCTGCCGTCGGGGGGGCGCGGCTCGGCTGGGTTTAGCCCGGCTCCGGTCGGCTTGGCTCGGCTTGGCTCGGCTCGGCTTGGCACGGCTTGGCTCTATTTAGCTCCCTTCGGCTTGGCACGGCTTGACTCGGTTCGGTTCCGCTCGGCTCAGCTCGGTTCGGACCCGCTCGCAAGCGCCGGCCCCCACCGTGCCCCGCTGCTGTGGGGGCTATGGGAGGGGGGGACACGCTCCACTGCCCTGGGGGACACCGTCCCCCTGTCCCTTTCCAGCCCGGGGAGGGTTTTGGGGGGTGACCCCATCCCCATCAAGCCCGGGAGGGGCTGGGGGCTGTCCCTGTCACCCTTCATCCCCCGGGGGGGGCGGATTTGGGGAGGGGGGAATTGTCCCGGTCCCCTTCCAGCCCCGGAGAACGTTTTGCGGCCATCCCGATCCCTTCTCAAACCCGCGAGGATTTGGAGGCTCTCCCGGTCCTTTCCCAACATGGGGGGAGCTGGGGGCTGCTGCGGTCCCCCCCACCCTAGCCCTGGGAAGGGGTAGGGTCTGTCCCAGTCCCTTTCCAGCCCATGGAGGAGAGGGGGGGGCTCTTTCAGTCCCCTTCCAACCCTGGTCCCCACAAGCTGGACACCCCACAGCATCCCTGCGCGTTGCAGCCTGGAGACAGGCACAGACAGGATCACCCCCGCCTCCAAGTTATCGCTGCTTCTGCTTTCTGGGACTCGATCACATCATCCCTTGTGGTTGCCCATCCCCTTCCCAGCCTTGTGGGGAGCCATGAGGTCCAGCCGCCGGGATGCCAGCACTCCCAGGAAAGGTGATGCTGAGCGATGGGGAGGTCATTGCTTTTATTAGCCCGGCTTGGAAAAGCAGAGCTCCCGGCTTTGTTTTCTCCTCATTGTATCTGCCAGGCTAATAAAAGGCATTACCTCTGCTGCAAAGCCTGTTTTGGTCTCCCTGCCATTCCAGGGGGCTGTCCGTGGGGATTACAATCCCAAATCCATGAGGGTTGGTGTTGGAATGAGCATGGGATTTTTGGATGCTGGGGTTTGGAGCCAGGAGTAACAGCGTGGTCAGCAGCAGGATTTGGGTGCTGGACCCCTTTTGGGTGCCTAAATCCCTCTAAATCCCAGACCTGAACTGTGGGTCACATTAAATAAACTCCATCCTGGGCATATTTTCTCTTGGATCTTCATTTTCCCATAGGATTCCACTTCTTCCTCACCTTGGGATTCCTTCCGCCTGCATTTTGCAGGGACAGGGTAGCGTTCGGATGCTGCCCCCAACCACCCCAAAACTGAGCAACCCCCATATTTAAAGTGACAGCAGCCCAAGGACTCAAGGAAGCTCATGGAAGAGGCAGGGGGAGAAGAACTGACTTGGGAAGATGTCACATAATTGTGTGCCATCAAACACCTGAGCGTGGGGCAGTGTCCCCTCTCACACTGAAGGAGTGGGGAGAGGCGGATGTGGGTCGTGCGCTCCTGGACGGACCCTCCTCTCCCCCAAAGAGCACTTTGGGGCCCATTGATCACATTTAATTGCTTGTATTTAATGGCTCACTAAGTGGCCAATGGGTCCACTGCGCTGCATGGATGTCCTGGCAAGCTCCCATCTGCTGGGATGCGGACATGGCTTTAGTCCTTCTCCTGTGGCTCCTCTGAGAAGGCGCCTCTGTCATAAACCCCAAGGATGAAGCAGGGCTCACCACTCCAAAAGCCATAAACCATGGTCAGCAAACGACATTAGAGGTGATAGGAGAGCACGAGGCGCTCTGCAGCTCCAACTGAGCTGAACCCTTTGACTTTGAAGGGTGGAGATGCTCCAAGGCTTGGAGGAGCCGAGCGCTCTCGTGCCGTGCTGCAGCAGGGTGGCTTTGGGGACGTGGGGACTCGTGTCTGGTGGGGCCATGGTGCTTTCCCTGCCCGCTGCAGCATCCCCGGGGATGGCTGGGGTGTGTGTGGGGGGGTGATGAACTCCCAGCATGGGAGATGAATCAACCATCAAAGCTGGGAGCCCCTGGGGAGCTGCGCCAGCATCTGCAATTGCTGCTCCCCTCCACGCTGTAGCATCTCTGCTCCTTGTTTCAGCCCAAAGCCAGCTCAGGACCGATGTTCCCCTCAGATGCAGGAGTGGAGGACAAGATTTCCTCCTCTTTCTCTTCAAATCTGCTGTTTTCTGAACTTTCTGCAGCTGGGTCCTATCTGTCCTGAAGTGCAGAGGCCCAGACTGAGTGTCCAGGGACCCCAAGGAGCGGAACGACATCTCTGTCATCATCCCCCCCAAATGGGTCCCTTTTGGGTTTATGGTCTCCTCTATTGGTCCTGTGTGTTCCTCTCTTCTCTACCGACATTCCCCTGTCCTTCCTGATGGCCCTGGATCAGTTTTCCACCCCTTTAACCAGTCTGCACTCTCAGCCCTGACATGTGGGCATTGACCACCAGGTTGGTGCTCTTCATCCCTAATGGTCACACTGAACCCTGCACCTCCTCAAGCATGGGCTCCCCTTTGACCCCTTGTTAGACATGGGTGGGTTTGGGGTCCTCCTAGACCATAACTCTGCATTTGGAGCAGCACCAAAGACTCCTTGCGTGAAAGATCCCCATTGCGCTGATGCCCATCACCATGGCACAGGATGAGGTTGGGTTGGGCTGATGTGATCTGTTCCTACAATTCAATGCACACGTTACTCAGCGCCTTGCTCTCTTCTGGAGGTTTCCAAAGAGAGCTGATTACTTACACGGTGCCTTCATTGACCAGTGTAAAGCCTCACGCTCTGTGACACTGCTTCTCCTTCCCCTTCTGTGTTATCTGGACAAGGGATGTAGGGCCGGGCCAAGGGGAATGGCTTTAACCTGCCCGAGGGGAGACTGAGCTGAGCTCTTAGGCAGAAGCTCTTCCCTGGGAGGGTGCTGAGGCGCTGGCACAGGGTGCCCAGAGAAGCTGTGGCTGCCCCATCCCTGGCAGTGTTCAAGGCCGGGTTGGACACAGGGGCTGATTCTCTGACTTAGGGATGATTCCCTGGTTCAGATCTGAAGCCCTTTGGGCTTCCCAGCTCCTTTCCCACTGCATCCTACCCTGGTTTCTTATTGCTGGTGCCGCTCTTGTTGGCTGGTTGCAGGTGGCTTTTCAGTAAAGCCTGGACCAAAAAGACATTAAAAGCTTTTTCTGGCTCCTTCTCCCGGTGATGGCCTCGTTCCTTCCCCCTCCACCCCTCCTCATTCCCCACTGCTGCAAAATGAGGCTGAAGCTCTCCTCCTCCTCCCCACATCTCGCTGGGGTCTCGGGATCTGTCATCATCCGTGTTATTTTCGCTTGGGTTTTCCCTGCAGTTTGCAGGCAGGGTGAAAACCAGAGCTGGGTGTAAAGCTTCCCACTGTCCCTGTGCTTCCAGGCGGTGCGTCCGTGCCAGGAAAGGAGCAGGAGAGCACGGCTGGTGCAGAAACACTTCTGGTGCTCTCCAGCCCCGAGCTGGCAGTTAGCATCACTAAACCCATGGCCCTCGGTCTCCCCCATCACACAGGACTGGTGAGAAGGGAAGAGCTGAAGACATCGTAGGTTATTTAAAGAGGAAAACTAAATCATTTCCTGGCCTTTGAGCTTCTGGGCACAGCGTCAAGTCCTGCTCTGCAAAGGCTGAACTGCTCCTGCAAGGGGATGCTCTTAGAACCATAGAATCATAGAACCATAGAATCATACCGCAGCCTGGGGAAGGGTTGTGACAGCATCATGAGATATGTCAGGACAGAGAAGGAAGGAGCAGAATGGAGCCACCCCACGTGGTGGCTTTCCCTCCTCTGCCCCCTTGGATGGGGCATTTCTGCTTCTCCTTCTGACTCCCTTTGGGTTTTCCTTGCTGTTCCTCACGGTCCCTTTCAAGTGGTGGTTCTCTGCCCCAGCCACACGTGTTGGGGTAGCATGGGAGCATCCCTTTCACTGCTGGGAAATCCTCTAATCAGTAAATTGCAGGGTTTGAACCCAGCTCTCACCCTTTGCTCAGCATCCCTTTGAAACTCACACCCGTGACACCGGAATTCCTCGTTTCTCTGCAGGAGGATCCTTGGGAAAAGGCTGGGAAATGAGGAATATTTTCTTTTGACATTTCCCACAGAAATCTGTTGGAAATGACACTTCTCACACTTAGAAAAATCCTCCCACCTGGATCTGCAAAGGGTTTGGCACTCAAGCGAGTGGTCGTGCTTCAGGTTTTGCTTCATCCCAGGGGATTTCTCTCCCTCTTTTGCTTGCATCTTCTTGGGGTTGCAAAAGGCTTGGAAAAATCTGCTTTTAACCCAATTGAAGGCCTCCTCTGGACTCGCTCCAGCAGCTCCACGTCCCTTTCAGTCCCATATCCCCCTTGGTTAGAGGATGAGGAGGGTCATTGTGGTAGCACAGCCTTCATCCATCCCACAAGGTCTCATCCCTGCTAATTGATGCATCAGCATCCGGAGAGCCGGGTGGAATTGGACCCGCTGAGCTAATGGCTGCATATTTTAAGATGGTATCAAGGATTCTGCATTTAAACATTATGGGCTTGCAAATGCAGCCCTGCTGGGGCTGGTCGTGGTCGCTGTGGTAGGAGCTGGGCTGGGGAGATGGCTCCTGATGAGCTGCAGAGGGAGAGGCAGGGGGAAAGTGAAGACATTGAATTGAGATCCCCTGAGCATGGGGCATGGCGTCATCAGGGTGGGTTTTCACCCCATATAGGTGGAACCCTGCAGATGTGGAT